GAGTACAAATGCCTTAATTGGTGATGATTTATGAACTTTAACCATATGCATAATTGTGTATGGGCATTTACGATATCAGTTAGTAACTATGCGCATAATGCGCATAGGCACATCTCTACTCTTGATATAAATTTGATTCATTAATAAAAGATCCATTTTCCGAAAAGTATAAATGCTTGCTGAAATATGCTAATGGTGGAGCTCTCAAAGAATATTTAAACATTAATTTTAATAAATTAAGTGGCAATGGAAAATTGAGTTTTCAAAACAACTCGTTAAAGGGATAAAATCCATACATAATGTAGGCGTTATTCATCGGGATTTGGTAAGTTTATATATAGCTCTCAAATTTTATTACTCAAATCTTGAATCTGCCTTTTGTATTGTCACAAAGTTAGATGCGACTAGAGATGGACACACATAGTGTGCGTTATGCGCACAGTACATGTTAATGTAATAACGCATTTTATAGTGTTGCTCTTTGCTCTCATAATAATCTCAAATTTAAAGAAATTATGATAACGATAAGAATTGAATTGATGAAAAGCACTGTTTCTATGACCGCAAGAATATCGATATGTATCGGTATCGGCGCATGTATATGTACAAGTATCTGTAAAATACGCTATCGTTATCGTTATCTATGTATGACAAAAAAGACGTTTAAAAATGGGGACGATTCTCCCAATACATGAACGTACACCTATCTTTTGAAATGTCAGCATATAACGAAGAAAATCCCTTACCACTATATAACGATGATGATGTTATGGAAATTAATTCTTTATCAGAAGGTAAATTTATTACTGTGCAAAATTAAAAATTAATATTCAAAAAAATCATTTATCGGTTTTTTTTATTTAGGCCATAATTTAAATTCCACGAAAGCCACAATCGACGACATATTATTCCTCTTCCACAAACATATCGATTCTGGCAAAAATACTACCAAGACGGCCGAACATTTACAAAGATACATGACCGTGCAAGGACTTTGTCTTTTCAAAGTTAGATTGTTTCTTGAAAATCATTCGGACAATTCTCAATATAACACTCTATTAGGCTTTCTATATAATTATGCAACCACATTGCACAGAAATCACAAGATCGCTTTTCATTGCTTTAGATCAGCCGAGAAATTTGATCATTATGCTCAATACCTGCTAGGTGTATGTTATCAACATGGGATTGGAACCTCAAGAAATTATGACAAAGCTTTTAATTGGTATCTAAAGTCAGCAATAAATAACAATGCGGCCGGCCAATTCGCTTTAGCTTGCTGTTATCAATACGGCGAAGGAGTGCTTAAAAATGTAAATAAAGCATTACAGTGGTATTTTAAAGCGGTAACCCGAGGAAACAAGAAAGCACACTATGCACTTTCGCATTGCTACAGATTTGGTATCGGTACGCGTAAAAATGCACATAAGGAATTCAAATGTTATTTGAATTATTGCAATTCGGAATTTGTTGATTCGCAAATGCGCTCTTTGCGGCTTGGTCATATGTTTGAAACTGGTCTAGGTATAACTAAAGATATATTTCAAGCGTTAAGATGCTATAGAGATGCTGAGAAACGAGGCGGAGTAGGGAAGATATTTATTAGACAATTAATTGCAAAGTACAAATAAGCCTGTCACAAACTGAATTTTCAATTTAGAAAATTCAAACCTTTACTGTTTAACCACTGGTTTAAAAATCTTGTTACGATATTTGCAGTTTGAATTTCAACTATTATAACAGACGAATTATTATTTTCAGTGCCTACTTGAACGTCAAACTTTCTGATGCTTGAGCGAGGCGAGAACCAAATAAAATGATTGTGCTTAAGAAATTGAAAGTCGAACCTTAATTTTGAAAATATTGAAAAAGTAATTTCATGTTAAAAAAAGGAGTGCCGTATATTTACAAGAAATTTTATCGGAACATACATAAAGATTTCTACGTGTGCATCGTTTTTGGCGCCGGAAAGAGAAGAAAATATTTTTCGCAGAATTATATCTCTAGATTAAATAATTGAACAGAAAATAAATCGTTTGAATTAAAGCTGAAAGAGCAAAATCATGATTAAGGTTTGTATAATTAATAATTAACAATACGTGGCTGACGTGCTCCTGCGGTGCACTCCGGATCCCCTCCGCCCCCCCCCCCGCCTACGGCGGGGGGTTTAGTTATTCCCTACTTACCTCTCTAAATTTGAGAATACAAATAATATATTTATTTATTGTTATATAATATAGAATTGTAAATGAAATTGAAATAAAATAGAAAATTTAATTTTACTATGATAATTATTTATCAAAAGAAATGAATATTTTCTAAAAAAAATAGAAAAATATTTTTTTGATTATAATAGTAGTGTATTCTACTATATTATAAATATTATCATACAGAGATAATGAACTGGCCTAATTTGCAATATTCTAGTCATAAAAAATAATTATTATATGAAGTATTGAAATATTTGTTTAATATAAAAGTATCAAGTGTTAGAATTAGAATTAGAATTTGAATAAAATTATCTTCTTAAAAATACTTCAACTACATTTAGATATCTATTTTTGTATTTTTCTTTTTATATTATATTTGTTTTGTTAATTGATCAAAATTTTGCTATATTTTAATTATGACAATTTTTTGTATATTTTTATTAATCAGAAATAATTTTTATTATATAACAATTACTTTTTTTATTTTAACTAGAATACTTATGAAAGTGATAATAAAACTCAATATTAAACTTATTTATTATTTATTATATTTAAAAGTTTGTCTAAACTAATATCAAACTTTATAATTTGTCAAATTTTATAGTAATATTTTCTGCTTATTAATCTTTTATTTTTATTTTATAATAATTAACTTTTAAATAAGATTTATTAGTAATAAAGATAGTTTTAAAAAACAAAAATAAAATGAAATTCATGCTAATAATTTAATAAGATTTATTATTTATTTTACTTATAATTTTCTTGTAATTTTAAAATTAATAAATTTAAAGTCAAATTCAATATATAATTAGTAATAAAAAATCTAAATAATTTTTTGAAATCAAATAAAAAATAATTTATATAGTAAGAGATAGCATAAAATACATAAAATATCTAGCTTGTTGCACTTTCAATTACATAGACAACTTAACTTCTGAATTGGATGTGACTGTACTTCTTTATATGTAAAATTTTTTCAGAATTTGTCTACTTTTTAGCATAATAAATTTTTATATTATTTGTAAAAAGTGTTATTAAGAGTAATCGTAACTACATCATATTATCGGGATTGATTTTGGATTTAGGTTTGGAATTTAGAAATTACGGTTTTTGACGCTTTGGCTAAATCCTATTTAGGTTTGGGCATTGAGCTAAACCTTTCGGTTTAGCCTGAATTACTAATTTCAGTTATAGAAATCTGCATGAAAGTTTTTCAATTTATGTCACACATAATTGTTGCATATGTCATTCATTTGCGCAATAACGATAATACGTTTGCGCTGTTTTTTTAAGAACGAGCAAAAAAGATTATTTTTACAACTTTATCCGTACAAGCATCAATAAATTATGAGTTTATTACATGTAACGTTAAGAATTAAGAATTCAATGGCTAAATGCTGCATGCATATTTAAGTTTTTTGTTATTTTAATAATGTACACTAAAGAAATGAAAGATGCAAAAGAACAATTACATGTACATGTACATGGTTATTGAAATTCTTAAAGCAGTAAAGATAATCATAGTAATCTGATATCTCAATAAATTGTATGAGTTTATTACATGTAGCGTTAAGGATTAAGAATTCAATGGCTAAATGTTGCATGCATATTTAAGTTTTTTGTTACTTTACTACAGAAATGAAAGATGCAAAAGAACAATTACATATACATGTACATGGTTATTGAAATTCTTAAAGCAGTAAAGATAATCATAGTAATCTGCTCAGAATGATATCTCAAAGAAATCTGTATTGTATTGTTGCGCATTTCTTCGTTATACGTGTACAGCATATGTACATATCTTTGACTGGGTCAATTTAATTATAATCCTATAATGAATATTCTTTATAAATAGAAAGACTACTTGCTTAGAAATGCTTTTAAAACCAAAATTTTTATTTTTAATATAACAATCATGCACATTTTGAGATTTTCTTTTATCTCTTTGTTAGGGTTAAATATTTTCTCTAACACCTTCGCGCTTCCGATTTTGCAAAGGGATCTTATCCAAAGTAGTTCTAATGTTGATAGCCCACTTACATATACTCATTTTGCTGAGTACACTGATGGTGCTGCAAACGTAGTACTCTCTGAAGGGCTGCCAATCGTGGATTAAATTTTAATCGAGCAACATATATATTATTCTTAATATAACTAAAAAATTTTTTGTGAACACACTGGCTATTTAATTAAATTTATATTAAATTATAATTCACTTTAAGAAAGTTAGAAAAACTTAACTTCATAGTCTATTCTTTATAATGTAAAACGATTGAATATTTGAATTAATATTTTAACGATCCGAGTATGTAATACATGTACATGTAGGGATGAGTATCGTTTATTTTCCTATGCTATTTATATATTTAATAGTTACTTGATGTTTTTAACATTTTGTCACTATCCTCTTATATTAATTCTTCATTCTCATTACTATCCTGATGCTCATTACTTTCATTGCATTCATCACTCTCATCTACTATTATAATATTGATTAATTGATCTCATTCATCACGTTAATGCTTTTTTTGATAAATTTTCTTTTGTTTATTTGGAGGAGATTGTATTATAAATATAAACTAATTTAAAAACACTAAACGATTTCTCTTTTTTGCGTGAATATTTGTAAAAGCCGCCCAGTTGCGTTCAGAAGCTTGCTTGCAGATGATGTTGGAATCGTTAAAAATACATCGTGCTTAGAGATGGGCAAATGCATATGTGCATCATGCCTACGATCTCTATATAGATATCGAAGTACAAATACAACCCAACCTCCCTATAACGATACTTTTATAACGGAGTTCCTCTATAACGACCAAATTTTCTAGAATGATTCATATTACTATAGGAAAATTGACTTCCATATAATGACATTCTCATTATAAGGACAAAATTAGCCTGGATATTACATGTACAATACATGTACACATACATAACTATGTGTAATGACAATGCTTCTCTCGTTTTGTTTTACAATTATTTCAAACCATTTCATATTTTATAAAGTACATGTAAATACAAAGATGGAATCAATACTCCTCTTTGTAGTAAATGTATTCATTGTCGAGTAAATAAATACTGCAGTGAGTGTATACTCATGTATAGTACTGTTTGTCAAAAAAAATTATTGTCGCAGTGATTATTTTTTATATCACAAATGAATTTATAACGATGAATTGACTGGTGGAATAAAAGATATCGACAATCTAATAAAAGAAGACAAAAAAATTAAAAAAAAGATATGATGGCATAATTAAATAAATTATTCGAATAAATTTCTTTTGAAAGGTTTACCAACGTTGATATTTTGTAAAGAAATTAACTTTGTGTTGAAATCAATTATTCAATTTAAAGCAGATTATTCAAGAGTTTACAAACGATGTAACATTTTCTAAAGTGAAAGCTGCTTCTTGTTTTTAATGCAATCAAATTTTTCAAAGTAGATTCTGATTGCTCTTAAAATGTAGTAATCTTTGCAGTAATATTTTTATTATGGAATAATAAAAATTCAGTTACAAATGAATACTCAACATATACAAAAGATGGTGATGTATTATTTCCAACGATAAATATTCGATTATCCGCAATCTAACAATAATTCACATTTATGCATCGTGGCTTTCATCCTGGAATACAGTATATTATTATTGGATAATGAAGCTGAAATTGCGGAGTTTTTGTCTAACATTCCAACAAAATTCTAACCAAGAAATTTGTGGAGTACATCCTTATATGAGTTTAGAGATGCTAAATTGAAAGCCATACTATACACTAACACTGTATACATTTAAGTTTCGGAATGATTACATGTATATTCAAATCGTTACAGATGAACGACCATTTGGTGATCGAAGTCATAAATCTCTCGTATTAGACATTTATAATAAAAGAGTACGACTTACATACCAAATAATATTCTCTAATGCTGCAAATTTATTATTTAAAATGTTTAATCCAATTCAGGAAATTGACCAACTGCTGAGGAACTTGTTGGCCTTTTCTACTCTATCAGAAGCGATGATGAAGATTCAGTATTTGATTCTTAATCAGATTTTTTTATTTTTCAGTTCTTTTCCATTTTTAAATCAGAAATGAAACAGATTTTTTATTTTTCAGTTCATAAATCATTAAAGTTATATAATCTTCTAAATCTATTTGATTTTTATATTATTTTAAATTTAATAATTAAAAATGTCTATTATATCATTTTAAATAGAATTCAAAATTAAAAAAATTAAAGAATAAATTTAAAACATAAAAGAAATAATTTAAAAGTAAATGAGATACTTTTAAAAGAAAAAAATTATTAATTCAAGAATATTAATAAGAAATTTATATAATTTATTATTACTTTTAGTTCAAATATAGATTAATATTCGTAAAATAATTTCAGTTATATATTATATAGATTTTTTTGAATATCTATTTATATTGATTGTATAATTTATATATTCTATTACTAATACTTTATGAATATAATAATAAAAATTATAAATCTTACTGAATAATATAAAGATATTTTTGCTTTTGAATTATATAAACTTAAAAGAATTAATATTATTAATACTAAAAATTCTATATTAATTAGATAAAAAATTTATATATATTAACTTTTAATTAAGAATTTATTTATAAAAAGTTTATAAAAATATTAAATATTAAAATTATGCAATATAAACTTGTTTTAAATATTATTAACAGTTATAATATTAAAAAAAATGTAAATACTAATAAATAGAAAATTAAAATCAAAACATATTTATTTCTTAAAAAGATCTATTCAAGTTTAATATTATATTTTTTACTTTTCTATGATATTTTATAATATTTTAAAAAATTATATATATTATTTAAAAAATATTATTAAAAATTTATTATAATCTATATTAATAATATTAATATATTTTCTGATATATAGTGATAATCAAAAATAATATATTAGAAACTAAATTCATTAATAAAATAAAGCAAAAATCAAATTTTTTTTTATATTAAAATTTATAATTTCATAAAAAATAATTTTTATTTTTATATCAAAATAAATTTCATTAATTATAATTTAATATATATATTTTTTCAGATTTATTATATTTTTTCTAAAAAAGCTGTTTTAATTATAAAGCTAGTGCAAAAATATTTATTAATTAAATTTTATTTTTAATTAGTAATTTTTGTATTAACTTTATTTTTAGAATAATTCTTTTAGAAAAAATCTAGAAAAAATTTAAAAATCTGAAAATATATATATTAATCTATAATTAATAAAATTTCTTTGATATAGAGATAAAAATTATTTTTTAATAAAGCATAAATTTTAATATAAAGAGAAAATTTTGATTTTTCCTATATATTAATAAATTTAGTTTCTAATATATCATATTTAATTATTCTATTTAAAAAATATCTAATTTATTTAAAAAAATATTTGAATAAATTAAAAGTTTTAAATTAAAACTTAATAAAGAAAAATATTATTTTATTAAAAATACTGTTATAATAAATTGGTAAGTGAGTTTTTACTTGAATTTATCTTAATAATATAAAGTTGGGAGAGACTAAATTAATTAAAGAGCAAAGAGAGAGAAATTAGACTATACTTTCAATAATAATAAAGATTTTGAAGATCTATATCAATATCTACAAATATTATCTTTATAAAGGGTAAAATAAATAATAAAATAAATAAATAAATCAAGAAAATTATAAAGATTGATTAGTAAAGTTACTAATAATCAATATAATTCAGAATTTAAAGTGATTAAATAATAAAGTTACTATTAATCAAAGAAAGTTATAATTAAATAAAAGGTAAAACTAAACTAAATAATGAAATAATAAAATAAATAAAATAAAAAGTATGACTTATTTATAGTAGAGATCTTCTATTCTCAA